CTGAGAGCCGTGGGAACGGAGCGAGGCCGGTGGAGTAATTGATAATGAGCGACACCTGCACCACTCACCGGCCTCGAGTCCCACGGAGGAGCTCCGGAAGGATAAAAGGAGAAGTAACGACCATGAAAGACGAGAGAGGACCAGGCCTGGACTTTATTTTATTGTTTTGGTTCTGTTTGTGCGCGGCAGTCGTCTGTGAGGGGCTGTCGCGCTGTTTTCAGTTTTGTGTTTATTTTGTTATTAAATTATGTTTAAATGTTCGCCGGTTCCCGCCTCCTTCTTCACGATCTACAAACTTGGTTACAGTTATTAATTATTTTTTACAGATCAGACGATCAAAGCGATTATTCAAAACAGGAAGAGCTTATATAAAGAAAGCGAGCTAAGAACACTGAAACGGTCCATGACTTCAGTCTAATGTGAGTTATGCACTTTGACAAATGATCCTATTATAATCACTGAAGCTGCACAATCTCTTTTCTGCAGGTTGCTGTTTGTGCTGATGAGAGAATCTGTGAATGCAGATTCAGAATTCAGTCAACCAGCTGGAGTCCTCCGCAGGGCTCCAATCAAAACGCCTCTGATCAGAGTTCCTTTAAGACGCACTTCGACCGTCATTCTGATCGGATGAAAGAATCATCAGATTTAAAGCCTGAGACCCACTGTACGATTTTTGGCAGATGAAAGATTGGCATCGTGAAGCAATCGTTGCGATTTCTGTGATCGTGGCTCCTAATCGGTGCTCATGTCATACAGTGAGGGAGGTTCAAAAACGGCCTTTGTCACAGTCTTGTGATTAAAGATTGCCTACGATAGTTTTCTGACAGTGTCAGAAATACAGCATGATCATCGCACAGTGTTTGCCATTACGATCCACGTTTACTGACACCAATAAAAATGCGACATGAAATCAACATGACATGGCACTAAAACATAAAACTGCTTACCTCAAGTTCATATGCCTTCCTCTTTCGCCGCTTCCACTTTTTTTCAGCACACATAAAAACTACAACTGCTAAAGTGCGATTTACCATTCTCTTTTTGTTTATTACTAGCACACGCTGATGACGTTTTGTTCTTCTATAGTAACGTGCGTCGTAGTGTACAAGTCGATAGGTGTCATCGTACAGTCTACACACGTCGTACCAAAGTTTATTAGATCCATGTAGTGATCTTACAGGATAGCTAAAATCATACAGTGTGTAGCAGGCTTAAGCGGTCACTGTCCTCATCAGTGTATTTAAGCCCCGTGTGGTTTAGCACATGCTGATCTAGCAGTGTTTCTCGACACACTCACCACTGAAGCCGGATCCGGCGTGAGTGACGATGTCCAGCAGGGTCTCGGGCAGCACGCCCTGCTCTCGGAAGCGCTGGACGAAGATGTCTCCCTGTCTCTTGGACAGCTTGGTACCATCGCGGTTGAGCAGCAGCGGCAGGTGTGCGTAAGTGGGCGGCATCCAGCGCAGTGCGCGGAACAGCTGGAGGTGTTTGGCGGTGGAGATCAGCCACTCAGAGCCGCGTAGCACGTGACTGATGCGCATAGCGTGGTCGTCCACCACGCTGGCCAGGTGATAGGTGGGGAAGCCGTCGGCCTTCAGGATGACCGGATCTCCCTCCGCTGCCGCCGGATCGTGCCGCGTCCAGCTGAAGACCAGGTCCTGGAACACCTCTGCGCCGGAGACCAGCTTGAAGCGGATCACACACGGAATGCCCTGAGCCAGCTTCTGCTGCACCTGCTCCGGCGGCAGCTCTCGACAGCGGTTATCATACCTGTGGAGACGGAGGAGACAGGTGTGTGACGGAGGAGAGGAGGAGGAGACGGGGTGTGACGGAGGAGAGAAGGAGGAGACAGGGGTGTGAGGGAGGAGAGACAGACGAAGGAGACAGGGGTGTGATGGAGGAGATACGGAGGAGACAGGAGTGTGATGGAGGAGAAACAGGAGAAAGGTGTGTGATGGAGGAGAGGAGGAGGAGACGAGTGTGATGGAGGAGACAGGTGTGACGGAGGAGACAGGTGTGTGACAGAGGAGAGACGGAGGAGAGAGGTGTGAGATGGAGGAGACAGAGGTGTGACAGAGGAGACAGGTGTGTGACAGAGGAGAGACGAAGGAGACAGGTTTGTGACAGAGGAGAGAGGTGTGTGACGGAGGAGAGGCGGAGGAGACAGGTGTGTGACGGAGGAGAGACGGAGGAGAGAGGTGTGTGACGGAGGAGACAGGTGTGTGACAGAGGAGAGACGGAGGAGGCAGGTGTGTGACAGGAGAGACGGAGGAGACAGGTGTGTGAAAGAGGAGAGACGGAGGAGAGAGGTGTGTGACGGAGGAGAGATGGAGGAGACAGGTGTGTGACAGAGGAGAGACGGAGGAGACAGGTGTTTGAAAGAGGAGAGACGGAGGAGGCAGGTGTGTGACAGGAGAGACGGAGGAGACAGGTGTGTGAAAGAGGAGAGACGGAGGAGAGAGGTGTGTGACGGAGGAGAGATGGAGGAGACAGGTGTGTGACAGAGGAGAGACGGAGGAGGCAGGTGTGTGAAAGAGGAGAGACGGAGGAGAGAGGTGTGTGACGGAGGAGAGACGGAGGAGAGAGGTGTGTGACGGAGGAGACGGGTGTGTGACAGAGGAGAGAGGTGTGTGACAGAGGAGAGACGGAGGAGACAGGTGTGTGACGGAGGAGAGAGAGGTGTGTGACGGAGGAGAGACGAAGGAGACGGGTGTGACGGAGGAGACAGGTGTGTGACAAAGGAGAGACGGAGGAGACAGGTGTGTGACAGAGGAGAGACGGAGGAGAGAGGTGTGTGACGGAGGAGAGGAGGAGGAGACAGGTGTGTGATGGAGGAGAGACGGAGGAGACGGGTGTGACAGAGGAGACAGGGGTGTGACGGAGGAGAGATGGAGGAGACGGGTGTGACAGAGGAGAGACGGAGGAGACAGGGGTGTGACAGAGGAGAGACGGAGGAGACAGGTGTGTGACAGAGGAGAGACGGAGGAGAGGAGGAGGAGACAGGTGTATGACGGAGGAGAGACGGAGGAGGCAGGGGTGTGCCTCTCCCCGGCGGCGGTGTGTTTACCGCGGCACCTGTCCGCTGCGCTGGGCCTCTCTCTTCAGCAGATCCAGCCTCTGATTGGAGCAGAAGCAGTAATAGGCGTGTCCCGTCTGCAGCAGAGCAGACGCCGCCTGCGAGTAGAGCTGCAGTCGCTCGGACTGAACATACGGCCCATAACCCCCTCCTCTACGGCGGCTCTCGTCCGGCGGGATGCCTGCAACACAGACAGAATTCAGAAAGAGCTTTATTTCCAAGTATGTTTGCACATACAAGGAATTTGTTTTAGTGTCACAAGCTTCCAGTACACAGAGACAACAACAACACACAGATAATAAAAAATAAGATGTGAACAAAATACACATGTAGGCCTGTCACGATAACAACTTTTTGTTGTGCGATATATTGCCCCAGAAATAATTGCGATTAAGCAATATCATTGTCATTTTAAAGACCATTTTATGCCACTGAATATATAATCATAATGTAACAGCATAACAATGCAAGAAGGCCTACACACTTCCAAATGACAAAAAAACTTTTAATTTTTAAGAATATTTAGGTCATGGAAACTAAGTATCAAAATATCAGATACCTTAAAAACTTGAATAAATGGTAAATGAACATTTTCTAACAAAAAGTGCAAAGTAACAAGTACAAAAAAAGAAAAATGCACAAAGAACTTCTATGGAGATTTTTACATCTACAGATTTGTTTCCTGACCTTCTTTTCTCTGTAAATGAAGGGTGCACACTATTGCTGAGAAACACAATCACTACTTAGCAGTCAGATGTCCGTATGCACAAAGGCACAGATCCCTAAACAAG